CAGAGATCTGGTTCAGTAGTGGACAGGTATGGTTGGACTCGATGATCTCAAAGGTCTTTTCCAACCAAATGATTCTATGGTTCTGCTGCATCAGCTCCTGAGTTGCTTCAGGGAGCTCAGTCCTGGCTCCCCTTAAACTTCAGGGGATGAGATTTCAGACAGAAAGCATCTCCCTTTAGGCACAAGTCCACAGCCAAGAACCAGTTTGACCTACACAACCCAACAACAACCACGTTTTATGGAGGAAACCTCCTGCTGGCATTGCCTTTGCAGCATTGCTTTTGCTGACTCAGCACGCACAACCGATACGTGTGCTAAGTCATATCATAGAATCACAGACTGGTTTGGGTTGGAAGGGACCTTAAAGATCATCCAGTCCCAACCCCCCTGCCAGCAGCAGGGACCCCTTCCACTAGACCAGGTTGCTCAAAGCCTCATCCAACCTGGCCGAGAACACTTCCAGGGAGAAGCAGCCACAGCTTCTCTGGCCAACCTGTTCCAGTGTCTGACCACCCTCACAGTGAAGAATTTCTTCCTAATATCTAATCTAAACCTCCCCTCTTTCAGCTTAAAGCCATCACCCCTTGTTCTCTCACTCCCTGCCCTTGGCCAAAGTCCCTCCCCACCTTTCCTGGAGCCCCTTCAGGTACTGGGAGGCCACTAGAAGGTCTCCCTGGAGCCTTCTCTTCTCCAGGCTGAACAGCCCCAACTCTCTCAGCCTGTCCTCACAGCAGAGCTGCTCCAGCCCTCGCATCATCCTGGTGGCCTCCTCTGGACTTGTTCTAGCTGCTCCAGGTCTCTCTTTTGATGGGGGTTCCAGAACTGGGCACAGTATTCCAGGTGGAGCCTTAAGTCCCTCTTACGATGCTACTAGTGCAAACCAGCATGACATCATTACTGCACTGACCATGCGGTTCCTAAACTGGTAAATGCACCTTAAAAATGTCACTCTGCAGGAATCTTAGAGCTCAGCCAGTGCAGAAGGAGAAGAAAAACTGATTTTGTTCATTTTTTTTTAGACTAACAGCTAATTTTAAAGGGAGATTTAATGAGATCACACACCACCACGGAGCCAGAGTTTGCTTTCGACAAGGAGCTTTTGGAAAGCTCTTGGTATAAACATCCAGGATTTATCATCCCGACACCAAGTCCTTGTTAGCACTAAGTGGCTGCACACCTGGAAAGGCAGGAAATGAATAAGTAAAGTCCAGTAAATACTCTTTGATTTCCTGACTGGGATGGGGAGGGACGAAGGGATAGATTTGAGCTTGGCCACAGGGAATAGTAACAGAGCCACAAATAAAGCCACGAGCCTCTAATCCAGCCATGAATAAATCCCCTTCCCCTCAAAGCTCGTCTCAAAGACAATGCACAGCTCCCAGCGTAGTGCCTAGGCAAGTCTGCCCAATTCCACACCGATTGTTTTTATCGCTGGGAAAAGTGCTTATAACCAACACAGAGGCAGCTCTGAGCCAGGAGATGTGAAACGACCTTCTCTTCATCTTTATTTCTCTTCTTCTCCAGCTGAAGGATCGTTTCATTTATATTTCATGGTATAAAACACATGGTTTAGGACTCCAGTAACTGGCTGGACTCAAATCTTTTGGGTGATGTTCGTGGGCTTTTCCACCTCTTGTTTTGACTTATTAAAGGAGCAGCATGTGCCTGCCCCAGGTGTAAAGATTTAGTAGGAAAAAAACCCCAACAGACTAAATCAAGAAACTGAATAAAAATTGTGCATTCAGACCTTGAGATGGTGGGTGATGCCCTGCCAGTCCCTGTGAGGTAATTAGAGGAGGCAGTAGCATGTGCATGATGTAATGGTTGTAATTAGGTTAAAAAATGACTTTATGGAGAGGAGGGATTGGGGTGGGCAGCTGAACACTGCTCCAGGAAGGCAACTTGAGGAGCCCTCCAGGTCTCCTGGGTCAACGCTTCACAGTCTGTGGTTTAATTTTAAACAAGTTACAGAACCCCTGGCCTCAAGCACAAATGTGCCCCTCCCTCTCCCAGCACCAAAACTCTGGTAAAACCTGCAGAAGAGGGGACAGGCTCAAGCTAAGTGCCCCCCTAAATCTGTTTTTTCTTGTCATCTTCTACATCTTCCCTGCCTGGAAGGAGGGAATTGGGGAGGGATGGGTTTTTTCCTCCTTTCTCAGCTGGCCAAGTCTAATTTTTTAATAGAAATGCTGAAACAGTTAATGCTGACAATGGGGTGGAGAAGATTTACAACAGCTGCCTGAAAAGTCTCCAGCTTTTACACTATTTCTATCTTAAAACAAAGTCCTTGAGATCTTCGCTGCAGGCTCCGGCTCCCAGCCACGCTCCTGAATCTCACCGAAGCTGGAACGTTTAAAGAAGACAAATTTTCCCAATTACTGCTCAACACTGCCAGGCGAGTTCGATCTGAGGAGCTGTTGCCAAATCATTTCAGCATCAGGAGGCTGCGCTGCCCATCGTGATCCTGCTAACGGGGCAAGCAAAGTGCCATGGTATCGGCTGGTGATGCCCTTCTCCACTGCCAGGCTCAGCATCTCAGCAGTTCACTCTTCTCTGGAATTAACGTGATCTTGCCAAGAAGCTACAGGTTCTACTGGAGATATTTTTCACAGCTGATAATTTCCCAAACAAAAAATATCCTGCTCTTTGCTATGGAGAAAAGAGGAGAGGGCTTCACTCACAGGCACGCACGTGCCCGGGATGGAAATGCAAGACCCCGACGTGGGATCCTCTGCTCCGACACTGACTTCCTCCATCACCTTTGGCATGTCACTTGTGTCCTCCCTGGGATAACCCAGCATCCATGAGCCGCCTGCCAGGCGCTGGTGTGGGAAGAGCACCTGTCTGCAGCCATCACAGGGAACATCTGGCCCTAACCCAGATGTCGTATCCAAACCACACCACTCCGCTCTGCCTGTGCCCATGGCAGTGGTGGGCTTGGGGCTGACCCCAGCGCTGATGCCCTGGTGCATGGACACCCCCAGACTGCTTCATGAGATGCCCAAGGCACAAGAGGGGATGGATAAGGCATTTAAGGCTCGGTAATTACTGCCAACAGTTCTGGTGCTAACAAATTGATTTTCTGTCCTTCCAGATTCTTTATAAAATCATGGAATGTTGTGAGTTGGAAGGACCCACCAGGATGATGGAGTCCAACTCCTGTCCCTGCACAGGACAATCCCAACATTCACACCATGTCCCTGAGGGCCTTGGCCAAATGCTGCTGGAATCTTGTCAGGCTTGGTGCCATCAGCACCTCCCTGGGGAGCCTGTTCCAGTGCTCCACCACCCTCTGCCTCAAGAACCGTCTCCTCATGGCCAACCTCACCCTCCCCTGACACATCTTCCTGCCATGTCCTCTGCTCCTGGCATTCGTTGGTGGCCAGAGAGAAGAGATCAGCGCCTGCCCCTCCTCTTCCCCTTGGCAGGAAGTTCTAGACCCCCAGGAGATCTCCTCTCAGTCTCCTCTTCTCCAGGCTGAACAAACCAAGTGCCTTCAGCCTCTCCTCACACCCTTCCCCTCTAAACCCTTCCCCAATGCTGTGTCCCTCCTCTGGACACTCTCCAGGAGCTTTAGATCCTTTTTCTCCTGTGGTGACCAAACTGCTCCCAGTACTGGAGGTGAGGCCACATCACTGCAAAGCAGAGTGGGACAATCATATTCCTCAACCACAACATGCCCCATGGAAGTGATGCCAAACACTGCTGGTTCCCCTGGGGATGGCAGGAAGCAACTGGAGTGAGGTGAGGATGCTGGGGATGTGTGGAAGGGCTGGTATCAAGCGAAGAGGCACAAAAAATGCCCGTGGTGGGTTTCCAAGCCCAAGTTTTTGCTCTGGACTTCAGCAGCTGCTGCCTCAGCCCCCAAAGAGTCCTTTGCCGTCGCTGTTACTACGGCATTACGCTCTGAATGAGAGCCCCGTGCGCTCATGTAGCTGCTCATTTTCTCCAGCCCACCGGACTTCCCACAAGATAAGAACTGACAACAGCGAAACATTTCTCTGCTTTAATTGAGAAGTTTCCACCTGGCGCTCGCCCACCGGGAGCTCACACCGTTCGTTATCTCCTGGATGATTACACACAAGCGCGCCGTAATGAAGGAGAGAAGATCTGCATCCAGGCTCATTGAAATGCAACATCTTCAGGTGTGTTTTGGTACCTGGTGACCATGGAGAGATGCCTTAACGATATATTCAGTGGTGAAATCTTCGTATTGCTCTGAGCTGAAGTGTAACGACTGCAGTTCTGATCTCCAAGGAGGTTTAATCAAAGCAAAGCCTCCAACAGCTCGTGTTCGCTCTTCTCAACTTGATATATGTCTCATTTGAGGGTGGATGCAAGAGCAGGGAGGAAAATGAAGGAGGCAATGACGCAGGAGGGCTGGGAATGAAAGTACCGGGGCCAAGCTGGGGGAAAAAATTATTCTGCCAGCTGGCTTCCCAAATGCCTAACCAGGATTTGGTTGTAATGACATCGTGTCACATCACATCCATCCACATTGTGATGATGTGCCACCGCTGGGACTCGGGGAGGGTGATGCATCCTGAGCCACAAGCATCCCATCACAGTTTATAACAAATAACATGACTATTTCTGTGGCACCTGAAAGGATTCATGCTGATCTACATAATGAAACACTCTCCTCTGGTCTCTTTTTATATCCTTGGAGTGTGAGAGCCTTTTGGCAAATAGCATCCTTTCTCGAAGGGTTGGAACATACCCAACACACTGCACGACTGCCAGAGCTGAACCATAACCACGGAAGAACAAGGCAGAGAAATTACTAGGGATGAAATCCCTTCCTGTGGCCAAAATTACAAGAGTTATGGATGATGCATGGAACGCAAAGCTGCAGCCCTCAGCCCAACCAATTTGAAGCAAGGCATAAAAGCTGCAGTTCATCATGAAGATGACTCTCAAGGGGCATTGGTAGGTAGAAGCAACCACACATACAGACTTACAGGAGACATTTCAGTGTGTAAATGAAATTTAGGACTTACCCTTTGCTCTTGGGTGGCTACAAAGGTCTGGAATCCAGGGGCCACCCCGAATCCCAGCTCCTGGACAAAAGGTGGCTCAGACTGGCTGTGGATCTGGACTTTGACTCCAGCTTCGAATGTCGTCTCCTCTGGAAGAAGAAGGGGGGTTGGTTAGTGGGCTGTGGTGGGTGGGATGGTGTTCACCAGCATGGGCATATTTGTACCTCTGTGGAAAATGGTATCTGATCCATCTCTGCTGCTCAAAAGCAGGAGACAAGGCAGCTGGGAGTGCTCTACCTGGCTGATCAGACTTCTGGACATCAAGGAAGGAAACCCAGTAGCAGGGTTTGCTGTGAGCAGATCACACCCAGGACTCACCCCAAATCACCACTGACGCCCATCGGGACCAAGAGCATCTCCAGGCTCCTGGTCCTTACACCAAGGTCTCACCCTCCCTGGAACACAGAGATGGGTGATTTCTCCAGCTTGGCCCAGGGGACACCTCCAGGAGGTGAAATCTACTTTCTAGCTGATAGATGGTAGAGCAGTGGATGTGGTCTATCTTGATTTCAGTAAGGCATTTGACACGGTCTTCCACAGCTCAAGACCTGCATATGCCCACCCACCAGAGTCCCATTTGAGGGTCTCCTCCCTGCCAACACCTACCCAGTGCTGACCCTCCAAAACACCCCAGTGCTGAGGGTCAAACCAGCTTTCCCCAAAACCTTTGGCAATGCAGAACATCCCCATCCAACCTCATTGCTGCTCAACAGCACCACAGCAGCCCCAGACTCCGCAGCTGATTTGGCACCCAGGTGGCCACACTCCATGGGTGAAGGCACCACAGAACAGGATCAAACCCTCACCCAAGCGCCCACCAACTCCTCCAACTTCAATCCTGATCCTTTTCTCCCCCCCATGACACCCACTCCTACCAATCCCACCCAGCTCCATCACTTTCCTGGTGTTGATCCCCTTCCAACACTTTGGAGGAGATACCATATGCTCCCTTCAGTAATTACCTGACAAGTTGGAAGAGAAAAGCTTCTATTTAGTCTGACTTGTTGGGCAATGGGAACTGTTTTGTTGAAACATTTTCCATCCAAAATTATTCTGCCCATTTTTGCACCTGCCCTGGCTCTGTTCAGCTCTGATTTAATTCTACGTACTTCCCACAGTTGGGTGCCCCCACCTGCAGATAAACCCCTTTACATCCATACTGACCAAATAAGCTCTTGCTTGTAAATATCTGTAAGAGACTTAAAAGTGACAGGATTTGTAATTTTAAATAGAAAATTCTGGCATGTAGCCATTTGCAATCACGGCCGGGGAGGGCAAGGCATTTTCTATGCCTTATAGAAGAAACTTTGGTTTTTAAACACATGGTTATTAATTTCCATCATCAATAATAACAAGGAGAGCAAAATAAACAACTTTTTTTTTTTTTTTTAAGAAAAGCTGCCAAAAGCCAGGCAGCATTCATTGCTTCTCCTGCAAGAAAACACATGAGAGGATGAAATTATAAACATGAAACTGGCTTTGAAAAACTGTCACTTCTCCTAAAAATTCATTTTCTACCAAACAGAAAATTCATTTTTCTGTTTTCCACTAAGAGAGAAAAATTAAAAGCTCAGCTACAAAAGCCTTTGATGGAATATGCCTGGACCAGTTCTCATTAGCTGCATCTTCAATGTTTCCAAGCTCCATGCTGGGGCTGAGAAGTGTTAGTGGGGGTTAAATATTTGTGGTAAGTGTAAGGAAAAGGAAGGTCTCATAGGACCCAGAAGCACAAGACCAACTGGTTTTGGGTGCATTTACCTTGCTAAGAGAGGAAGGGTGTGAGGAGAGGCTGGTTTGTTCAGCCTGGAGGAGACTGAGAGGAGATCTCATGGGGGTCTAGAACTTCCTCCCAAGGGGCAGAGGAGGGGCAGGCGCTGATCTCTCCTCTCTGGCCACCAACGAATGCCAGGAGCAGAGGAAATGGCAGGAAGATGTGGCAGGGGAGGGTGAGGTTGGCCATGAGGAGACGGTTCTTGAGGCAGAGGGTGGTGGAGCACTGGAACAGGCTCCCCAGGGAGGTGCTGATGGCACCAAGCCTGACAAGATTGCAGCAGCATTTGGCCAAGGCCCTGAGGGACATGGTGTGAATGTTGGGATTGTCCCGTGCAGGGACAAGATTTGGACGCCATCATCCTGGTGGGTCCCTTCCAGCTCACAACATTCCATGACTCTCTGATTCCATGTCTCTGGGCAGAGCAAATCCAAAAGGCTCTCCAGGAAACCCAGCCTGCCCTGGAGACAAGGGGCTGAGCACTGATCCAGGCTGTCGCTGCTATTTCCTTAAGCCCATTTCTTGTAATTACCCATCAACGGAGCAAAAAATAACCCTCAAAACGTCTGATTGGTTCAGATTTCAGAAAAACTTTAAAAATAAATCCAAATAACTTGGGGTTTGCTTTGAACCTTACGGTTTTTAAGGTTCAAAGCCCAACCACAGACCTTCCTTCAGTCTCCAACCCCACTTTTCAGAGGACAGTGCCTGGAAATTCATTTCTTAAGGCACCCCAGGTTGGGAATAGAGCAAAAACTCCTTGATGATTGTATTTTTAAATACCGTAATATACATTAGTGTACACAGGACAGTGTTTCCAAACAAATCCTGAGCTGCTCTTTTCACTGAAGGATTAGAGTAGCGTTAATTAAATTAGGGATTAATTCAGCATGTGCTGCAAGTTGGCTGCAGAGTATTACATGTTGCTGACTGCACGGCTTTCTATTTCTGGCGTTGGCTTTCCATGACTTTGTGGGGCTTTCTGCTTAAAGCATCACTCAGAAAATCTTAATAAAGATCCAGTTGACTGTACACTTGGGTGCGGACTACAAAGTTTATCCCCGGGACTATGTAAGAAACTGCAATTAAAATAAATGCTGCCAAAGGCATGGAGCTGCCCTTCTCCCCCTGCTTTATTATGTCCAAACTCATCCACTTCTCTCTGGCAATTAACATCTGAAGCTCTGCTCCGTGCTAATTTATTGGGATTTGAAGATACAGCCCGAGTCACGGGCAGTATCTAGCTGGAATCGTCACCTCCCAGCTCTGCTAGCAGCACTGGCAGCTCCACAGAAGATATTCCTGCTCGGAGAAAAGCAAAGCAGATCCCACATGGCTCCAATGGAGAAAGAAGTAGATGGTGTTTTCTCAGCTGGTTCATGTTATGACTGTGTTAGAAGGGGGCCTGAAGGTTTATTTTGGGTAATAAGCTTTCTCCTGCACTGTGCAGAAGGAAGCACAGAGCTAGGAGGTTTGGATTGTCCCCAGACTCTTGTTCACTGCCTCAGTTTCCCCATCTGTAAAACAGGAGCAACGTTGCTGCTTAACTCATTGGGCTGGAAGAGTCACAGGTGCCTCTTCTGCAATTCTGCAAAGCACAATTCAGCACCATTGTGTGTTACTGAGGTGCAAGGACAGGGACTATCTCATGGAGACAGCACCCTCAAGGGGCACGGGCAGCACCCAGTGCAGCATCTGGAAGGAAGCACAGATGTTCATCCCTGTGCTGGCTGCACTACACTCGTGACGGGTATGTTGAGATCATGGCTTCTTGTCTCCAAGAAGGCTCCTCAGGAGCAGGGGAGCTGCTGCAGCAGCACAGACATACCCAGGAGATGCTGTGAGACACTGAGGTTCATCTCTTGAGTTTCACAGCATCCTTTGCTCAGCATTACCATGGAAACAACACGCATCAGAGCAAGCGCTCCTCCACCTCCTGTGTCGGTCCTTGGGGTGGGTTGCATCCCCAGAACCGGGGCTGAGCATCCCGAGTTGCTCTGGGTGGGCAAAACAGCATGGCCATGTCCCCATTCCCACCAACGCAGTGACCCCCTAAATCCCTCCTGCATCCCTCCCACACGTCTCCCATTTAGCTCAGCACCACCTGGGACCTGGTTGTGTGTCCTCACATTACCCACTGGTGTCCGTGCCCACAGCTCAGCACCTCCTGAGCACGTTGAGCTCATCACACCCGTGGGACAGCCAGGACCTGGAGTGACCCAGAGGATGTGCCTTGTGTTTCCAGACTCGGGGAAGTCAACTGCTGCATCATCCAGACTGTATCTGTGCAGAAATGTTAAACAAATGCCTAATGTTCATATTTTTCTTAGGCAAAAATTTATAGATGAAAAAAAACCCCCACTTCACCCAAATCACCATGGAAATGGAACTAGAAGAAACCAGGACCTGCAAGTCTACTGCGAAAAAATGTGGAATTATAAAGAAACCAGTTTAACGCCAGCAAAACCAGTTTGGCTCCCCTGCGCGTGCTCTCACTTCTGTGGAAGTGTGTTTTGCTTCACTTCGAGTTGCTTGGTAACAGGATGAAGTGAAGCTGAAATAAAAGTGATGGCAAGAGGGCTCGGAGAGGTTTGACAGCATCTGCTTGACAGGCGACTGAGTCGACACAACTCTCCCCACTCAAAACCAGTCGCTTGACATGTGTCCTGGGTATTTTCCTATTGCAGGTTGTGCGTTGGCTGCTGTTTTGGGAGCAATCAGGGACTACAAATTTCTCCACGGATGAAAATGAGATGTCTACCATGAAAAATACGGTATGTCCTGCTTGGATGTGGCAGTAACAAGAGTCCCAATGGAGCTGGGTAGAGTGTGTGTGAGCCCAGCCTGGCTGCTAACCTGCAGCTAAGAGGGACAAATTAAATGTACAGAAGTCACTGTGTGAAGGGTGGCCAAGGGAGTGGGGAGCTCCTCATGGTCTTGTCCATCTGGCCAAACTTCAGAGGGGTCTGGCTGCTCCTGAGGGCATTGTAGGGCCAGTGTTGGCCCAAAAGAATGGGGATAAGTTGATGCTGAAGAAGACAAAAATGTCCCCAGAGTGGCTGGAGAAGAGGTCCTGCTGTAGAAGAGGGGACAACCTCACTACCTGTTTTCCAGGAGGTGTATGTTGCACTCAGGGTGGGGGTGACAGGATGGTGTGTCCTATAATCTACAGGTTATAGCCCTGTCTAGAGGAGTGATGGAGACCATCCCGCCTGTTATTCTTAAGGACAGGTCCCTCAACCTTGTCCCCTTTCTTCTGGGATGCCAAAAGGCAGGACATCACCTCCAAGGCCGTTCTCCATTGCAACTTTTTACGTC